CTCTCTCTCTCTCTCTCTCTCTCTCTCTCTCTCTCTCTCTCTCTCTCTCTCTCTCTCTCTCTCTCTCTCTCTCTCTCTCTCTCTCTCTCTCTCTCTCTCTCTCTCTCTCTCTCTCTCTCTCTCTCTCTCTCTCTCTCTCTCTCTCTCTCTCTCTGTCTGTCTCTTTCAAATCCGTAAATATGTACTGCCTTACTATAAGGATTGGACCAAGTTATGACTGTGTATCTTTGATCGGCCAAATTATTTTTCGTACATTATTTTATACCGTGTACATACCTGTGTTTCTTTTTTCGACCAGATCACTCGTCTTCGTCTATACTTTGAAGCATGTTCCTCCGTGTATACGTAAAGGAATGCGCGCGCGTCTCATATGCGCAGCATGCAATATGCACGTAATCTGCGTGAACGTATACTGAACCACCATTCTTAAGTATTTGGCCACTTGCTGAAAATTGGATTAAAAATATGTATGTTATGTTTTGGTATAACGCGTATAATAAATGTAATAAATTGTAAATATTGTAGAAATGTTAAAATGTATAGATTTTCGCTAACCAATAGATGGATTAACAATTCGAGATATAGCAACAACTTTAAATTTTTTAATCTTCTTTCATGTGATTCTTAGATAATTCTATTACAGTCTTTATGATTTTTCGCTACATTTATTTCGATTTTATCCCAAAACTTTTCGATTGAATTTACATCCAGTGATTTGTGGCGTCCATAATAATTTTAAATTTTTTAATCTCTCGTAATAACTTTAAATAATTTTGTTACACACTTACTACATTATATTGAAGATCGTTATCTTATTTCTTCAACTATATATTGCGTATAACTATATAGTATGTATTGCTTCGATTATATTGTATATATTTTTCCAATGTAACGAATGTGGCCAAATACCGACGGACGGTAGTGTATATATGCTGTATCGCGTAATGGAATCGCCCAATCGATTTTCGTTTGCTCTGCACGTTTGACTTAGCGTGTAGCCATGCATGCTCGTTTGAGCTTCGTTTTTTGCCAAACAAAAAAGATATAAATGTCGGGGCATGCGTTTCGGATATCGACGGCACAAATCAAAATCGAACATTTTTTCATCCATTTTCCCTTCCGCTTAAAATTGCGGATTTTTTCTTTTTCTTTTTTTCCTCTGTAGTAAAAGTAGCATACGATTTCGTCGATGCCCGAACACACTCCTCGAATCGCACGGCTTTCTTTTTTGTACACGGACTGACAAAGAGAACACGGATGATAAATGCGGGACGAATGCGAAACAGAGCCGCATGGTGGCGTCCATGGCGGTGTCTGTTCGCGAAAGTAACGACATCTCGCGACTAGCCAGCCGATCGAATGGCCCAATCTGATTTTGGATTTTTGATTTTTGGTTTCTCTGTTTTTTTTTTTAAGTTGACTAATACTGGACAACAATCGATGCCAAATGTAAAAGAGCCCCAAACGAGTACTGACTTGTAACACGCACAACGCACGCACAAAACGTATAACCCCAGACCGCAGGTAACTATCTAACGGAATTAATACGTATATTTTACCATTGATTTATATTCTATCTTTGCGCTCACGACTCATCGACTCGCATCGTTCGATCGATCTCGCGCCTTCCGATTTCTCGGTCATCCTACTTTTTCGCCTGTTTTTCACGTTTTTTTTCTCACTATCACGCTCTAGCCCTCGATCGCTCACCATTGTCTCACCAGCACCTTGCATGCATAACATATTCGCGCACATTTCACTATTACTGGCATGACGTAGCGATAAGCGAATGGTCGATCCACGATCTGTTGTCGCACGATCACGGTGCGTCTATCAAATTTTTCCACTTAAAATAAACATTATTATTATGTATGTTTTTAATACAACTTTCAATTCAATCTCTTGATGACGCACCATTTTCTGCGATGCATCTCTCGTCGTCGTCGAAAGTTGATTTGGGAAACACACTCGTTACCCAATTTTCTATCTCTATCTCCATCTTTTTTTTTTTTCTTACGACAACTTTCGACGATCAATCGAGATTCCTCCGCGCCTTGCAAGACGCTGCGCCGAACTAGTCCAAAGTTAGCCGAGCTTGTTCGGCGCCGCGTCGAAGGAAACACTTGCACCGTCGCGTTCTTAGAGAGGAAGAAGATGGGCTTTGATAACCGGTATCATCCACGTGTCGAACGCAGGCAGTTGCCCCTGTGCCAGCGGAACGCACTGTCGTGGGGTCAGCGAGCGTCATCGGGGGAGGGCCCCACACTCACGAACCACCCACCACCCATCAGCAGCGTCCGGAGAACGCACTCGACGCTCTGTTAGACGAGCTGCAGACGTTCTCGAGGCCAAGCTCGCAACTCGGCCACACTCAAGGATCCTCGACCATGCTATCGGAACTGGGCAGGTCGGGCAGCAGAGGAGACGCGACTGGGGCAACGGGTGTTGGAACGACTGGCCGACCGCCATGTATCTCCGATATAGGAAGGAAAGGAAGCGTAGACTCGACGAGTGGAATTTTGCCAAGCGGCGGGACACTGGTGCCTGTTGGAGGGCCACAGACCACAGGTGGAACGCTACGTAGATTGCACTCTTATCCGTCTAGCTCGGACACAGACACGTCACCTCCTATAGCGAGACTGCAGGTGTCGCTGCAGGAACAACCGAGTTTGCCTACATTGCCGCAAGGGTTCATCCCGGGACAGAAGCCACCGGTGCCCGAGCGAAACGCAGAATTGCTTCAATTGGCCAGCGCAAGAAGGGTCCCACCCCCACCACCGCCGCGTACTAGTTCTAGATCTCCATTGGCTAGCCCGACCAGTCCTCAGCTGCCACCTAGAAATCATTCTTGCAACTTACAGAGCGCGAATGCAACGCTGCGGAGGCCACCGGCACGCGGTACTCTACCCGTCAAAGAAGGAAAACCTCCGATGGCCCTGCCAACGGAGCAACCAGGTACTGGATTGGGTTCCACGCTGAGTTCCACAATCGGCTCTTCACTGGAAACAACGTCGAGCCCGGTGCTTCACAATAATTCAACCAGTTCTCAATCATCAGCCGTGCTATCCACCAGTAACTCGAGTTCCTGTGAGAGTGTAAACTCGCAAGAGGGTCTACAGAGCAAAAAAGGCAGACAGGAGCAACTAGAGCAACGGCATCAGGAACTGCTGCGTAAACAGAAAGCTCTGCAAGAACAGTACGCGAGACTCCAACAACTGCAGAGGAACACCGCTGGCCTGACCACCGTCCCGCCTGCGCCGCCAGATCTCTTGAAAAAGACGGGCTCGGAGAGCAATCTGTTGGCCAAAATGGGCCTAGGACTGAGCACCGCCAGCTCGGGCTCTTTAACAAGTCTGACCGTGAAACCCTCTATTCCTCAGGAGGTTTCTGTGGATAGTCTGCGAACGCGACAGGAAGAGCCAAATGAATATCAACCGGTGTCGACCACGAATTCGACGTCCAACATAGAAAGTGGCAGCACTACAATGGCCAGCACAAGCGAATCGAGCGACAGTCAGCAGATCACTAGCGTAATTTCTGTGGGAACCGCGATCGTTTCCACTGCGGCGTCAACGTCTGGTAACAATAACGCGAGTACGACTACCACAACTACTACTAGTAAGATCTACGAGACAGATATTCTGTGACCGAGAAGCCGATCGTTGCTCGAATCGAGCGTTAAAGTGGCCGCTGAAGTCGTGCTCGCGAGTTAACCGCGTTATTCCTCGAACCGTGGTCAGAATTTGGCGTGAATAGAAAGAGAAATAAACGATAAAACTCGAGGTGAAATAAATACGAATTAGGTTTTGGAAAAGCACGAAAGACGAAAGATATTTCGTTCGAAGGTTAGTTTGCGACGAATCGCGAAAGACGCGCGATCTTGTCAGCTGGAAAGTAGAGTACAGCATAGAGAATTTAGCGAGTCACGCGTAATTTATAATATCGATTATCATAATTAATAAACGATATATAGTATTAATAATCGTAAACGAAAAGCGCAATCTCTCTCTCGGAACGCATAATCCGGACGCATAATAATAAGCGAGGCTGAGAGTGGTCTTCTCGTCACCTTTACTTGCGATCATTAAGAATAGAAAAAAAAATTCGATGGTTCGAAGATCGAGTTCCTGGCCGCAAGATAATAGAGAATATCGTCGAGCGTATTAACCTTAATTGGGACGACGATTGTGCCAAAACGGAGAGCGAAAGCCACTGATCATAAAATATCAAACGACACGATTTGTCATCGACGCTCTCTTTCCTCGCGTTTTCTTCTCGAGTTCCATTAAGCTTCATTAACTTTCCCACGAGCAGACAAACCCGACAGTCGCTATAATCGGGGGATTGTCGAATTATCATGCATACTTATGAATATATCTTAACTATATCTAAAAAAAAAAAAAAAAAAAAAACGAATAAATTATATACAAAAAATGCAGAAGTAAGAAAGAAGTTTCTATATAAATGAATATTTAAACGAAATATAGTTAGATAAATAGAAGAACAGCAGATAAAAAGAGCGTATTACGCAAAAACGCTGTAATGTAAACTCAAGAGCGTTTATTCCTGTTTGAGATCGGTTATGAAGTTGCACAAAGTGTTAACGAACGCGCTAACGAATGAGCTACACGCGTATCTCTCTCCATATATTTACTTGTAAGTCACGGTGTGTGAAACATTCTTCATGTGTTTCTAAGTAGCTTTGATCGGAAGAAGATATAACCTCGATTGAAAACACGAAGAATGGAGAGCGATCGTTTCTCGTGTCGGTCAACGCATATTAATTAGCGTTAATCTTCGAAAGATCGATTTTTTCGACGGACAATGGCAAGATTGAAAGGAACATTGCTCAATATTTACCGATCGAAAAATGCATCGAGTGTTTGCGACGCGCACACGGCGTTTTCATACCGCTTCGCAATTCGTTCCAAGATGCGTGCAATACTTTTTTCTTTCGAGAAATTCAACGAAATCTCGTGAAATCAAAGTGTGAATTATTATTTAATATAGTACGCGTTTTCTCGAATCGATCGTTTACTGATCGCTTTGCGAACTTATTGCCAACTTATCGCTTCGCCGATCGATCGATCGACCAATCGAATCTTAACATTTCTAATTGGCACGTTTTTGGAACGATTCTACGGTCAACGTCGCGCCACTCGCGCCAAATGTTCATTCCTAATTCAATTAGCTGATTAAATTGATTCGCTTGAATCGCGTCAATTCGTTGATAGAGCATGTCGCAATTGTCACGCGCAACTCTCAAGTTTCTGTCAGCCTTTGAAAGACGTCTTGATTTCTTTGTAAAGATATTGGCGTTAAACGGAACGCGTTAAACGGGGAAAAAAGATAAAGGGAAAAATACAGTAAGATTAAGTAATAAAATTAATAGCGGAAAATATCCGCCGCTTTGTTATCGTAAAAAGGACGAGAATTAAGAAATAAGTATCCGTGCTTCCCAGTGCTTGACAGAAATCAGAGGTACATATTTATATAATCGATATGCGCATACTTTGCTTCAAGAGGCCTAATAGCCGATAGGTTCGATTCCTTGCTTCTTCTCTTCCGTTCCTTTTTCATTCAAGTCCATTATTGCTTGCCGCAATTTATCTTTCATTTTCATTCTCAATAGTTAATTAGGAAGTTTCATCTACTACGCCGATCGTAATCGTGTTCTTATTTATTTTCTACATACACCATGAAATACATCTATATGGAAGTAATAATTATTAATATACATATAACGATAAGAATAATATGAGTAAGATATGGATAATAACGATCGATCACAGTATTCAGTTGCGAGTGTTTATCAAAGCATTAAACGATCAAGACGGTACACAATCCCAACGAACAAGCACTTCTCGTTCGAATCTTTAAATCGAACTTGTATATTGTTCCATTCACAATAGTAGGTACTTACACGCAATATCCAATCGCATAATTTGCATTTGTACAAAGCTGCTTTCTCTTAACGCGTACTACTTTGTTTCATATTGATTCAAACCTTTTCTTTCTCCACTCTTCCTCTTTTGTTCGTCGATTTATTTTCTGATGAAAGTATGCGTTTTACGTAATTTTACGTGACCAAATCACATCTCATTATTCATATCTTTCATGATTCATGATCCATAATCCACCAGGCAATAATTCCTCCCTCGATAGGTGTGAAATTGGCCACACACCTTTCGACCGCGAGACGTAAAGCGGGACCCGAATCGATTCAGTTATTTCCAAAACATTAGCCAATAATCGATATATAATGTTTTCCGACGATCTTGTACGCCAAATCGAATTGACTTGTTACATTTGTAAATGTTTGTAAGTAACTATCACGTAATAAAATAATCGATTAATAATCATCGAAAGCATATTATCATTGTATGACGATTTTATTTATTCGCAATAGAAAAAATTTGTACAAAATAAAAAGCAACAGAGGTTGATCTAGTGGTGAACTTGAATGATTGTTCACGTTTTCGGTTTTTGATTTCCATTTTCATTGTTAATCAGCCCATGCGCTTTCTTTATGCCTATATCTATTTCCTGTTTTTCCTTTTGCAATTTTTCGTATTTTTTTATAGCACCTGTTAATTCGTATCGATCCAACGAATCTAATTCCGCATATCTTTTGATTAACTCTACATCATCCTCTATTGGTTCTATTGATTCTGCAGATTTAGTTTCGGGATAAACTAAATGATAAAGTCGTATCAAAGCACTTGCTTCTTCTATATTTCCGCTTTCTATTGTATCCATTAATAAGATGTGTATATCATTGTTCCAAACAAGATAAAACGCTAATGGACCAAAATGCCTTGTAGATCGCAAGGCATCGAATTTTTTCAATTTATTTACATAAGAATATACTTCTTTCGTGATTCTGTGGTATTCTGGATCATCTGGTTCAAATTGTAAGCAAGCTCGATCTAGGATAAATTCAAATTCTTCCCTATCCAATAGATCCTACAAATATAATATATAATTGGAAATAATGTTTTTTCAAAATAGCGTTTTTAGATATTGAATAATAAGTAAAATATTCTTACATTCAGATATGGATTGTTGAACATCTTTGGTGTATGTATTTCTCTACCTTTTATAGGGAATAAATTTGGTTCATTCTGTGTCTCTCATTGATATTTGCATGCCTCAATGTACCATTTGTATCTCGAACAACGATTAATCTTTTCCTGTTATTGCTTCCAAAAGATATATCGGTAAATATGAAATTGCTTGTTTCATATCCTTGCAAAGCAGAATCTTTGGATAGTATTTCACATTTATCCGATCTCATTTTTACTACAGGTGGCATCTGTATTCGATTTTTTGCTTTTATTATTATTTCTGATCTCGCTTTTTCTAATTCCTTGTCAGTCATAAATTTAAATTGCGGAATTTCCAAAGGTTTTCCATCTTTACGTGTTGAGAAAATTTTCTCATAGTTTATACGTGTTAGAGTAAATAATAATTCTTGTATATGTTGATCGAAAAATAAAGGTGCGGGATCCCTGTCATCCGCTGTAATTATTTAAATTATTTAAATCGTAGGAAAAAAATTATATTTCAAATAGAATTAAAAACATAACCTATTTATTTAAATATTTTAATAATACAAATAAAAAAATAAAATTCTACTTACTTGTTGGCGAAACTGTTGAGCACAAACGACGATTCCAAATTGATCGTTTATAAAAATATCTTAAAACGACGTTTATTCGACTACATATCATTTTGATCATTTGACTTAACCTCACATCATCATACTAACTTAACCTCAATTTTAATAGATACTCACTTCGTTATTACGAACTAGTAACGAAATATATTTAAGTTGGCAATTGCGTCAACATAAGAATAAAAATGATTTGGTTGCCAGCATTAGCTACATGTATTTACTAACGTAACGTTTGCGAAAGAAAGTTCAAAACGTATTAATCAAAGTTTAATTTTCATCAAATTTATTGTTTATGCATCATTACGTATTGTTGATATAGTTAAATAATATTCAATGAAAACCCTATCTGTTTCTTTTCGCGCCATATTATAGAAGAATTGTGCTTAATTTTAAATTTTCTATTTCACGATAAAGTTTAAAAAAAAAATAAAAAATGGAATATACATTGGAAGATGCTTTTGAAAGTTTGAAAGATACTTTAACAGAACGACAAAAAGAAATGGAAAATTTGTGTGATATGATTATGAATAATAAACCAATTGCTTTGGATAAGACTTGCACTTCAGAAGATGTGAGAAAAAAGCAACATAAATTATGTAAAAGTTTATTGAATAAGGTTCTTCAAGAAATACCAAAAGATTATCCGATTCCTCATACATCTGATTTGCATATTGAAATTTTAACAGAACTTGAAAACGAAGTGTTAAATGCTCAACAACTTCTTGACAAAATGAAGATGCAACTTTCGAATATTAATGAAGATATATCTTAGTTCGTAAAATAAACAAGTACGATTTTATTATGATTTTAAGTTCATTTGAACTCATAAAATTTTACATTTTTTATTTCAGTTTAGAAAAGAAGAAAATGGGTTCGGAAAAAATGCGAGAAGCCTTCTTGAGTGCAGAACAATTGACAGATACTACAACTTATAATAAAGAACATGTGATAACTAAACGCATGTTTAAAAATGTAAAAAAGGATTTGGTATGATAAAAAACAAAATTTAATGTTTTAAGATTAAGTACTTTTAAGATTAATTTATTATAATTATGTAAATGTTTAGCATATGCTAGTAGAAATGTTGTTCCCAGAAAATCAACATTTCAAAGATTGTTTAGGGGTAAGCATAAATTATTTAAAGATATAAAAAAATTTCTATTATTTAATTTGGATAAAATTTTTCAGAATTTAACATCAGCATATACAAAAGGAGGAGATGAAATGTATATATCTATTACACCAGAAACTCTAGTGTTTATGAACTTCCTGCTTGAGGCTGGTATAATTATGTATCACAGAAATGACAAAACTAAAGTGAGACTAATGGATATGTTATAGATATAATTAAAATATTTAGAATTTAAATGTATTTGTGAAATATATTTTTGAAAGATTGATCCTAAATATTCTAAAACACTTAAGATATGACAAAAATACCAGTTAAGATTTTATTAATATTATTTATAAATAATTAAAATTCAAGACATGAAGTGAGACAGACAATCTCATTATTTTTCTTTATCTTTGCTTTGCTTTATTTATGTATTATAACTTAATAAATAATAAATAAAATAAAAAAATAAAGAATAATAAATAAACTTAATAAATAAACTTCAATATTTTTATATATTAACTTTTATCTTTGTTTTGATTTCTAAAATCAATTTTTAAAAATTTTTCTCATGAATATTAACACTGAATACATCAGTTTTATATTGCTTTTAAATAAAGTTTTAATTGTTAAAGCTAAATTTTGAAGATTAGAAAAGAAATGTATATGTAATAATAAATAGCTTGATAATAATAATGGTATATAACTATAAAAAAATTTGAATTCAAAATCTAAATTTAATATTTTATATTTCAATTTAAATGCAAAATTTTTTTAATTCAAACATTTTTACCACATAAATGGAGCTCTTTCTCTTAATACCCTAACACCTGTACGTTCCCATTCTTGTCGACCAATCCATAATTCTTGAGCAGATTCTAAACAACTTAAAATTGCTGCTCCTTTCCATGCTGTCATACCAGGATCCATTTCTTTTGGTTGTGTTATGATATCCAATTGTTCTACATGTAGTATAAAAAAAAAAGTTTAATAATTTTCTTGTATTTAAATTTATATACAAAAATACGTACCGGCCCTGTACATATAGGGAATTTGAAGAGAAATCCGATTATGTAGCCACATACCTATACCTTGGAATTTCATACCTGAACCAACAACAAGTACGCAACTATACATTTTCCTTTTTAGATCTTCTGTAGCTATGGAAAATGTAAGAATTAAAATTCATGAATTTTTTTGTTTTTATTGAATTGATTAGATATACATACGACAGCGATCGATACTTTGAAGAACAGCATGATCCAAACCTAACAATTGTTGAGGACCTACTACAAAATCACGCGGGGCATCTAAATCGCGATTTGATAAGGTAATCGGTGCCGAGTCTACTGCATCCACAACTACTTCTTCTTCCCCTGCTACAGTCGGTGCTGTTGCTTCTTCTTGCATTTCAGATGTTTGTTCAAGATTTTCTTTCATGCCTCTTCTCTAAACAATAACGGAATTAATATTTTTGTTAGAAAAATAAATATACCCATTTTCTTATGTAACTCTACATACACTTGTTTCTCGTA